CTCATTACCCAACATTGAAATTTTTCTATTTTCAAAGCCAAACTCCCAAAAATTTAACTTGCAAAAAACTCAGTCTGTAAAGACAGAAGAGTCCTGCTGTACTGAACTTGCAAATTTCACTGCTGTATTGCACATTAAATATGGCAACCACATTAACATCTTCAGTCAGAGCAAAGCTAGGAGACTAACTTTCAAATTCACGAAGAGGCAAATTAGTTTAGATAAATTTAAAGGCTCAAGAACCAGATTTGTATCTGTGAGCTTTAGTCAGAAATTTTTACCAGGGAGCAGTATACTTTGATCAGTCCTAAAACCCAGTTCAGTGAAAGTTGGCATTTAAATGATACTTGATAAATGCAGCACCTTGCAGAGCAATTTGCTGCGCAAGGAAAACATGAGTGTGTTACATGCAAGGTGGTCCTTTGCACACAGACAGATCACAACTGTTAGACGGYCTTTTGCACATAGGTGTAAGCATTTGAACACAAACAAACACATTGCCACAGGGCAAAAAAAGATGGAAATAGTAATTTTGGAGTATAAGTGAAATGTTTCATGTTTCGTTTCATGCCATGTTCAGCAAATGAAATGAAGAGTGTAGTACAGTAATATAGCAAAATGTTTACATGCGTATYACAGGAACTATTAGCAACATTTCAAATGAGCCATATTGTCCAAAGGGAAAAAATAGTTGTTTTTCCTCTTGTTTTTGCACTTAGGAAAAGGCTGCCTGTGTTCAGACACAAAATACCGAGTTTCAAATATAATTACATAACTGTGAGTTTGTTGTGTTCTGTCAGTTTTTAAAACAAATGTCCTCATATGTGGACATCATTTTTCTCAGAAACTGCATTATGTAAAAGATAAATCTTTGTTTTTACACTCAAGTCCCAATCAGCTCAAATAGTAAGGAAAATGTAAAAATACATATCATGCAAGAGTTCGGGTCTTAGGAGGTTAAACCGTGCAGACGCTGAGCATCCAAAGTTCAATAGTGAAGCAAAGACTGCAGCGAAATGAGATTAGTCATTGGATAAATGCTGGGCTTTATCCCGCCCATCGGACACTCAGTGTCTCTGGGGGTCTATGGGGCAGTGGGCTGGCCTAGACGCTCAGCTTCTGCATGATCTGAGGCTGAATCCCTTTTTGACAGTAAAGCGAATCAGTGATCTTTCCATGAAAACATCTGTGGGAGCAGCTTTTAGTTTTTCTTTTAATTGGAGACTAATCCTTTTGGTGGCATTTTTTTAATGACCAGCAACAAATCGAGCTTCTATTTCACGTGTTATTTCTAGCCGCTTGTGTTTGGAGACTTTATCGCAGTTTCTGCAGAGCCCCTTACTAGCCACAGCTTAGGTAGCAAGCTGCACRTGATGGCAAGACCGTTTGAATGCTTTGGTCTGGATTTTGGTGAAGCTAGATAAACAGCAGAGAWTAATTTGATGCAAAAGTCCAGGTTTTTTAAAGTTTGCTGGCTGAGGGTTATAGTGAAATTTAGCCTTTGGCATTTTAACTACTGAAACATCCTGACCTGCAGAGATTCTACGCTTATCTGCTCCTTGATTGCTTGTCAAACAGTAATTTTTTTATATATGGAAATATCACAGGTGAGGGGATCCTCTTTAAGGCACGCACCAAGTTAAAACCTATTGTGACTTTGAGAGACTAGATCTCCCAAATTTAAATTAGAATTTCCTTCAAGCACATC